GGCGTTTTGCCAGGTTTTTCATTCATGGTGCATGGAAATTCTACCCCAGCTTTGATTAGGATGGGGTAGGATTTGTGAGTTTATGGACAAAGGCAAATTTTGTGAACGCATCAATACAAGAACAACTCATGATGCTGCTCAAACAAATACCAATTCAATCGATGGCATGAGCCTGTCAGGCTCTGGAAATGCTCATAGTCACAGCCTGGTTTCTGTTGGAAGGGACCTCAAAGCTCCTCCAGCTCCAACCCCTGCCATGGGCAGGGACACCTTCCACTAGAGCAGCTTGCTCCAAGCCCCTGTGTCCAACCTGGCCTTGAACACTGCCAGGGATGGGGCAGCCACAGCTTCTCTGGGCACCCTGGGCCAGCGCCTCAGCACCCTCATAGGGAAGAGCTTCTGCCTAAGAGCTCATCTCAGTCTCCCCTCAGGCAGGTTCAAGCCATTCCCCCCTTGTCCTGTTACTAATTGCTGTCATAAATAGTAAAGGATAACCTCCTCTTTACCTCTGTACAATGTTATTAACCCTACTCTCAAGTACTTAGGCTCTGAACAGAAAACGGACATACAAAAGCAGTACACTGATTACTTGCTGTACTCAGAAGTTAAATTAGACACCTAAAATCCAGATGTCAAAGGAAACTAGGGAAGATGACAACTCAATGCTTGTTTTGGAGAGCAGGGTTTAATCAGCTCTTGTTGAGCTCCACAGTGCTTCAGAAACAGGGGAGGTGCTGTTTCCTGAACAGGTTGAACTGAACTTCACGCAGGTGGCACTGAAAGTGACATTCCCACCTCCTCCTCTGCTTCTGGCCATGAGTTCCTGCTCTGCCCCCATCAGAACTACAGCTATGTGCTAAGTTGGATCAGCTCTAACTTTCCCAAAAGAGAATACTGGGAGAAGAAAAATGGGCATTTCAACCAGATCAGCACCTTGAGGTGGCTCACCCCAAGGCCACATGGTCACCAGTGATGATCATGGAAGAAGCTACCCTCGAAACCACACATGAAACAACTGCAGGACATCTAACCATCATGGTAATGCAAAAACATGTCCACAGAAGACAGTACTGCCACCTTTAAATAGGAACCCAATGCTAAGAGCTCACCTGGGAAGCTGGGCACTCTTCACCCTGTAGATCCCACCTCCTACAAAACCCTGGCAGCAGCAGAGCTTGGGCTGAGGTTGGTTTCTGCCCTTCCCACTGGAGCTGGGCCAGCTTAGACTGGACTTCAGGATTCACCAAGCCACAGAACACAGGCACTGGAGGGTAGGTATGACTCCATAGGAAGGAGACTCCCAGGAGAAAGGGCAGAGCCTTGTATTCTGGTCCCTTCTCCAGGAATTCCTCGTGCCTCCTTCAGTGAAGATTAGATAAAACATATACACAGCTCCTCTTATACTTGAGCTTCAGAAATACATCCTATGAGCTATGGCAATACACTCGGGAGCCAGTGAGAGCTCTGCCCTAACAGGAGAACAGCGTATGCCTACCTGTATTCTTGGAAATCCTTTTATTTTTGGTGGATGAAAGTAAATCAAAGAGCAATGCTGAGCTCTTCACAGTTATGACTCACTTCTGCCAACCTTGTGTTTTGGCAATAAACCTGCATATAGACACTGGAGCCTGTAGTAACAGGTCACAGAGGGAATTTCAGTAGCCAGTTAGGTCCTTAAAGGTACATTAGGTACCTTAAAGGTACAATTCAGGTGCCGAAGCTTTGATGAGGGGTTTGGAACACCTTCTAGCTTCCATTTACTGCACTAGGGAAGCCCTGAAGTCACAGCATGGCCTGGCAGCACTGCCTTGGTTTGGCAACATATGGGAAAGAAGCGAGGGAATTAGATGCCAGAGATCATCACCCACGACTCTGCCTTGAAAATGCAGGGATTAAAGTGGCTCCTATTCATACCCATGTTGCTGGAAAACATGCATTTTTATTTGGCTTAATGGTTATATACTTTTAGACACAGGCATTACCATTCCAGCAACAGAAGAGGAAGCACTCCTCGTTCCCAGGTCCAATTCTGGGCTCACTGTTTTGTCTGTAAACTTCAGGGGCAAATCCCATGGCTGGATAGCTACAGGCCATGAAGAACTTCACTCCAAGAACGTACAAAACAAACAAGGAGGAAAAGCCAACAAATTCTCTGCACCTCACCTGTGAACTTCTGCATGGGAATCCCTCAGGAATCTGTACAAATGAACGCTACCGAGACACTGCACGGACCTGAAATGTCAAGCATTGGGTTGGTTTCACAGAGTCCCAGACTGGTTTGGGTTGGAAGGGACCTTAAAGCTCATCCAGCCCCAACCCCTGCCACAGGCAGGGACACCTTCCACTAGAGCAGCTTGCTCCAAGCACCATCCAACCTGGCCTTGAACACTGCCAGGGATGGGGCAGACACAGTCCCTACAGGCCCTTGTCCCAAGCCCCTCTCCAGCTTTCCTGCAGCCCCTTCAGGCACTGGAGCTGCTCTAAGGTCTCCCCTTCAGGAGCCTTCTCTTCTCCAGGCTGACCCAGCCCAGCTCTCTCAGCCTGGCTCCAGAGCAGAGCTGCTCCAGCCCTCGCAGCATCTCCATGGCCTCCCTCTGCACTCACTCCAACAGCTCCACGTCCTTATGCTGGGGACCCCAAAATCTTACTTATCTATGATTAAGGTGGTTTGGATTTTTGCTTGTTTTTTTAGAAGCTCAAGACTTCCACTAACATAACAAGCAATATTCTGATCAGAGGAAACCTCTGTTATCCCTGCCTCCATGCGCTGCCTTTTTTTCTCAGTCAAGTTAACCAAAAAAGGCATGGAAAAGTGTAATCTCCACACCATGTATTTCAGATTCTCTCAATCAGATTAAGTGACATTTTAAAGACTGCAACGCAATAGAGAGACTGCAAACGCTCATGTACATAAAATCAGGATTCAAAACGTGATTTTCCCCCTTGTTATGGGTGCCAACCATCCCTCTGCACTGCATCAGTGGTACCAGCCTGGTCCCCAAAAGAGACGCAGCAATTCCCTGTCCCATAGGTGGCTGCACGACAGGGAACTGAAAATCTCAGACTCCTTCTCCTCAAACAGGGCCTGCTTGCAACTCCTTAGCAAACCAACCTGCTCCACGGTAAGCCTGAGGATTGATCGCTTCGATGCAGGTTTAACAGTTAACAATTCAGAGGCTATAAAAACGTGCAACTTCCTTTCTTTTAATCTAAAATGATAACGGAACAATGACTTTTTTCATGGCTTCTTGTTGCTTAAAAGCATACAAAGTGTCTCCCGAGACCATTTTGAGGAGCTTCTGGTTAAACCCATGATTTTCAGAAGGTATGGGGCTCATTCACAGGAATACTCAGCTAAAACAGATCTCTAACTCCGAATATCTAATTCCTTCTCCTGTATTTGTTTAATTCAAGTACAGTATTTTCCTCCACCCTTTCCTTTTCATAGGCTTTTCACACCCACACAACAACCAAGTGACTCTTCCCTGACCCGCCCTCCCACACCATTTGGTACAACCACAAAGTCACCCTGCGCCTGAGCTCTTCTCCCAGCATCCAGACGAAGCCCTTATGGAAAGGAAACCCAGTGCAATGCAAAACCTTCCCTTTTCCCCTTCCTTTGCTGTTACCCCTCTGGGTTTATTCCCAGTTCCACAGGGATTTGCGGTGTACGGATTGCTGCTGTTTTGGAAGAGAGGGAAAAACAACCTTGAGTGCCTCACTATAGCTGCTGATTCAATGGGTTTGGGAATATGAGGAGTCTGGGTGTCACCCAGCCAGGGCGGAACAGCAACAGTGAATTCCTTAGGACACAGCACCAGCAATTCCTGCAGCTGGTGTCTGGAAGAGACCCGCCACAGGGAATGATAAATCATCACTATTCCACTTTCCCCATCTTTTAATAGCTTGTGCATTCAACGAGATGGTCTGGAAATCCAGGAGCTACAGCATCATGTATCAGCATCTTAATACAGAAAACATAGTACTGCTGGTAAGTTAAATCATGGAATGGTTTGGGTTAGAAGGGACCTTAAAGCTCATCCAGCTCCAACCCCTGCCATGGGCAGGGACCCCTTCCACTAGAGCAGCTTGCTCCAAGCCTCTGTGTCCAACCCGCCCTTGAACACTGCCAGGGATGGGGCAGCCACAGCTTCTCTGGGCACCCTGTGCCAGCGCCTCAGCACCCTCACAGGGAAGAGCTTCTGCCTAAGAGCTCATCTCAGTCTCCCCTCTGGCAGGTTAAAGCCATTCCCCTTGGCTTGTCCCTACAGGCCCCTGTCCAAAGTCCCTCTCCAGCTCTCCTGTAGCCCTTTCAGGCACTGGAAGGTTGCTATCACCATCCTCATTTTACCAACAACTGAGAAGAAGTGACTTGCTCAAGAAGCTCCCCCCACTCCCAAAACTCCCTCCCCAAACACGTATCACAGTCGAGAGCAGATTCAGGGAGCACAACTCCCAGACCTATCTCCGTCAGCCAATGTGATTCCTGCCAGCCCATGTTAATGAGCTGGGGTTTTGAGAAACCACTAAATGATAGCTTTTTCCTTGGGATTTACAGAGCCACTTACAAATACCAGTGTTCCTATTTTAGGCATAGTTTAGGAAAAGCACCATTCCATTTAATTCCAGGAATGGATGTACGATTTTTTTTTCATGTGAAATTCAACAAAACTGAAGCCTTCTTCATTCAATGAAGTTTAACAGGACAATAACAGCTCAGCAGTGACTGGTGGATGATCTATCCCCAAGCTGGAGGGCTGCCTCAACCCCTTTCCTTAACACCAACATTCCAGGTTAAAAATGGGTAGGAACAGCAATTTCAAGCTGTTTTCCTTGACCTGCTGCAGTAAGTTTCCCCCCTTAATTACAGCCTCCTAAACTGTGGCAGGCCAGCTCCAGTGACAAAACAAACCCAGCTTGCTACGTTCACAAAGCTTTCCTTCGGTTCCATTTAGCGAGATACCATCTTAGCACTGAATAGGAGAAGTACATCAACTTACCAATGCATTACCAGCAGAAGCATCTCACATACAAGGTTAAGCGTTACTCAGCCATCAGCTCGCTCCTGGCTCTACATAAATCCCACAGGCAGCAGGTATCAGAACTCTCTCCTGTTGCTCCTCATCCCTGTATGCTCACAGAAGTCTTCTGAAGCTGCCACCAACAAAAGAAACCACAGGAAGACTGCTTCCCTAATGCTTCCGAACTGAGTCAGTAGGTCAACAATTCCTTTGGTTTAGGAGCCAGACCAATTCCCTTAAGCACCCCTTTCGGATGGAGAAGCCAACTGTCTCCTGCTAGTGGCAGCCCATCTGCTTCCAGAACAGAACCAAACAGCTCCAAAGCACCACCTCGCTTGGTGCAGGCACCCGTCCTGATGCAGCTCCATTTTGGCTGGGGGGAAACCAGGAGAGGAATACTTACAAGGGGGGAAGACAGGCAGCAAAAACTGCTGCGGGTGCACCTTGCACGCTGCTGCCGGCTCCCAGCCCACGTTCCCGCTTCCCATCCCCGAGACGGAGTGGCATGGAGAAGAGCTCTTCATGAGATATCAGATCCATCCCCAGCCTGCCTTGTTCCATTGCAGGCACTGAGTATCCTGTGTGTGCATCTCAGGCGCACTGCTCGAACAAAGAGAAGGCTCTGAAGCTGCTATCCCTCTTCCCGATCCATGTCTCGAAACGGCTGGTTGGAAATTGGTTTCGTAATAACCCTTTAGTACCACCTACTCACATCACAGAGTGATTCTTGCAGCAAATGCACAGGAAATCACCAGCGAGTGCCAATGGAGCTACTATTCCAAGAACTAGCTCTTTCGGTTATTCCTCCATCCTTTGGAACCCGAGCTGCTTTTACTTTCCCTATCGCACAAGGGGAGATTTGTTTTAAGAAGAGCTTTTAACTCTGATCCTGTAAAATACTTTTGTTGATAAATCACCAGCTGAAAACTTGCCCACTGTAAGGAAAAAAAAAAAAAAAACAAAAAGGGGAAAAAGAATTTCACAATACTCATTCCAGAAAATACAGTAATTCCTGTCTGGAAATAACTCACTGGACAAAACCCAAAAGGGCAGAATTGATCTGCAGAGGCAGTTTGCATCCTGCAGAGCACACAAAGAGGGGGCAGTGGGAGCCACGTGCCTTTCTGACCACCGCCAGCAGACCCCTGACTCACCCAACCACAGGATGAGTCGCTAGGAATGATTTCCTCTTCTTCCAGGCTCTCCCCCCCGGCCTCGGCGTGCTCGGTGCCACCAGCATATCCTGAGCGCTTAATCCCGACTTTGATGGGAATTCCAAACCTCATCCCGTAAGGCTGTGGGCACCAGCTAACGATGCAGCCATCTGCTAGCTCCTGCTTTGAGTCACCTGTCAGCGATACAAAAGGAAATTACTCAGCAGCGAGCACGTGGAAGCCCCATTGCTCCACTCTCTCCCTTTAGAGGAACACAGAATTCCGGAGCGCTCCAATCACCCTGAAGGAAAAGTGCTCTATTCTGTAAGCGGTCCCGTTCAAAAGGAGTGGAACTTGGTTGAAAAGATAACGTAAGAAATGAGAGCAGAGCAGACAAGAGAGCGTTTTGGGTGGGTTTTTTGATGCCAGCATCACCGAGGCTGCCATGGGAAGGGGGGGGGGGGGGGGGGGGGGGGGGCGGTGGGATGGACGGACGGGGACAGACACAAAATAAAAGAAGACATTTCACAAACACGAGCCCTTCACTGTGCGTGACAAGAAAAATAATGAAAACAACTGAGAGAAGTGATGTGTGGCTGCTTCGGAAGTTAACTCTTCCAAGGAAGTGATTAAGGGAACAAAAGCAACGCGTTCTGTTTGTCAAACAAGTCAACTTTGCACACCGGAGCGTGTAAAGCTGGAGTACGGGCACAGCCCTCCCCGCAGGCAGAGAGGGTCACGCAGGGCTGAGATCTTATTGATTATTGAGCAGTGATTAAGTCGAAGATGCAAGGCTTTTGAACTAACGCACAGCACTGCTTTGCCACAATGCCACATCCTATCAGGCAGAAAGGCAGCCACGACGCCCTGTGCCTCTTCATGGCATCCCCTTCATCTACTTCCTATCCAGGACAAAATCCACAAGGATTTTCCCAAGAAGACCCTCTTAACAGCTCCAGCATTTACAGACCCAGTCCAGCAACAGTCAGTTTTTTGTTTCATCACCAGTGACGCAGCTCACGGATCCAGCTCTCTGGAAACAAGGCTCCCAACTTCTCCCCCAAAACCAGCAGGCAGTTACTACACCCAACACTTGGAATCTTCAGGAATTAATTAATACTAAAGATCTAATTGTCTAACCTGCTTCTGCATGCAGAAAGGAGCCAGACCTGGTGCCTGTACAATGGGGGAGGGAGGCACTTCTTGTTCCTGTTTCGTACTTGACTTTTCTTCCTGCGCAGGAGATGATCTAATTATTCAACGTGTCAGTGTGTTGCTTCAGCCTCTCTCGTGTGTCTCCTCACATTAACATATCTTTCACAATTCAGCTCGTTCAGAAGGAGGCGAGGAACAAAACCAGCAAATTATGCCCCAAACCAAATCCATCACAAAGGCAGGAGCCTTGCCATGGTTTGTCCTGTACCCATCCCAAACTCCTCCGGAGCACGCAGCCAACGATGCTGCGTGTACATCAGCAACAAAGCTCCCTAAGCCCAACCCTCGCCTTGCTCACATGCAAGTGTACCTGTTCTGAGACACAAGCCTGATCCGTGAGCTCTGTGAAGGAGGAATTTGGGGTCCTGCCTGATTAACAAGGCAAAGAAACTCCCAAATGACAGCCCTTTATTGTTCCCAAATGTGCTGATGCTCAGCTGCAGGCACTGTTGGGAGAGGGGGCTGATGGAGCGCCTGTGTAATGATTGGGTATGGGTGATGAAAGCCAGTGATCCAACCACATAATGCTGCTCCTGATCGACTTGAAATGCAGCTGAAAAACCCTAAAATCCAAATATAACATGTACAGCACCTGCATTTGCATATGTAGGATGCCAGCCGAAGTTTCTGAGCCTGTTTTTACAGCAAACAGCCTTTCAACACCCAGCCCTTGCAGCAGCTACGCATTTGAGAGATTTCTTGTGTTTTAAACCTTGCCCTGAGTTACTACAACAGGTTTGCTCACGAATTAGCTCAAGCACAGTCCCTGTGGCCTGCATTAAATCCACTAGTTCTGGGGAAGCATTTCTTCAGCAAGCTTTGTGTGTAATAGCAGTGCCTATATATAAACCTGTTTACGACTATTGCTAAAGAAGAGCCCGCTCTGAAGCAGCTCCTTTCTTCCCATCGAACATGCTGGATGCGTTCCCAGTTAAGGCTTATATAAGGCCATCAAGGAAGTAGAAACTTATTTTGCACAAAATCAAGCCTGTATAGTAGTAGGTGCAACGGAATTATCCTGTTACACATTAAGTTTTACTAATAAAAGACCTGCACTGCAGTCATAAAGGCAAACACTGCATCCCAGTAGTACAAAGAGTTAAGCATTTACTGCTATAAAATCAAAACCTACTTGGCCAAAGGAGAGATAACAGGTAAAAAGCATCTGCTTTTTCTGGTATAAACCCTATCATGTTCCTTATAATAAAAGGCACACAGTAGCTGGAATGGTTGATCTTCATTGCTCACCCCAGTCTGATTTAACTTAGGTTAAAACAATAATGAATTAAGCACATTCAAAATATAACCAATTTGAAATGCATGATGTGAAGTTTCCCAGTGCTGTTCTATCTACAAGGATGTGGTTGGTGTTTCTGTTCTCCTGAACACATCACTCCACTGGCAGGTCCATCCACTCTAATAAATGACCTGCTTTCTGACCTGTGGCCCGCAGTACATCCGTGTTAGACTGTTCCCATGGCTGCTGTTTGGAGGGAGCACACCCAGGTGTGCTGGCAGGGATGGTTTGCTCCACAAACGCTCAAGAGGACACAGCACTGGCAAGCTCATACCCACGCTGGGCTCCCACAACCTTACAGAGACAAACACCACTGCTCCAGACAGGTCTATGCTTCCCAGGACCACCACAAAAGAACTCAAGCCCATCTTTTAAGACCAAAAGTTGGGAATGTGACCAGGTCTTGAAACTCAAGCTCTTGTACTCAGAATAAACCCACCAAATTGGCAGATTGTAGCATCAACTGCTTTACAATGAAAAGACAAAAAGAAACAAAATTATCCCCAACAACCAGCAACAAAAATATCCCCACTAAACCAAGTGAAATATTGTGATCAGGGGCTAATCACAGACTCACAGACTGGTTTGGATTGGGAGGGACCTTAAAGCTCCGCCAGCTCCAACCCCTGCCATGGGCAGGGACACCTTCCACTGGAGCAGCTTGCTCCAAGACCCTGTGTCCAACCTGCCCTTGAACACTGCCAGGGATGGGGCAGCCACAGCTTCTCTGGGCACCCTGGGCCAGCGCCTCAGCACCCTCACAGGGAAGAGCTTCTGCCTAAAAGCTCAGCTCAGTCTCCCCTCTGGCAGGTTAAAGCCATTCCCCTTGGCCTGTCCCTACAGGCCCTTGTCCAAAGCCCCTCTCCAGCTTTCCTGGAGCCCCTTTAGGCACTGGAAGTGGTGATCTTCATGCTGCACAGAGTCCAGGTCTAAGCCCCACATACCATCGGTGCAGGGAACTGCTTGTGCTAAGCACACCCATTTCTCACAGGGGCTGGGAGCAGAGCACATCTCCCTGAGCTGGTGCAGTCAGCACAAACACAGAGCAAGACAAAAACACACCACTTCTGTGTCATACATGTGTCTACATCCAAATAAATACATCGGTCTCTATCTCATCAGTACAGGCGCTCCACTGACAGCACCAGGGATATTTCCCCTTGGCCATGTCCCATTTTGCATTACCACACAGGGGTGGTTCAAGGACTACATCAGACACTAATTAAACGTCTTGTTTAAGATTAAATCATTACAGAGATAACATTGTAGGTACCTCACTCTAACCTTTCAGAGGTCCACATCAGAGCACTGAGGTCCAGCACACAGCACCACACTAATGCTTTCTTAGGAAAAACATGGTCAGAGATGCTACTCACCTTTCTGCACCTTCCTATTGGTAAATCGCTCACCTTGGAAGAGGGAGACACATTCTGCTCCCTGCTCCTACCCCCTCAGCCTTGCAGTGTGCTGTAGTTTTGATGCCACACGTTCAGGAGCTGAGCGGTGACCTCTCAAGCCTCCTTCTGCATCACGCCGCTGCTCACAAAGCACATGCAGTGAGTGAACATGCAAGAACAGCTTGACCCTGACCCTGCAGAGAGGAGGACTTCTCTGGGCATTTGGCAGTGGAGGTTTCGATTGCTTTTCTTAATCCCCTCTCTGCATTGTATCCAGGCTGTGTAAGCACACCTCAAGTTAGGACAGCTACACTTCCAGCAGTTCATACTGGCACGCTTCTCGCTGGCGATTCTGAAGTGTTTAACTCTTCTTATTCCTTCTTCTGTATGAAGTTTGCAATTCCTGAATTCCAGGTTATTTTTAGATTTCATCTCATAGGCTTGCACATAAACCACATGCACAAAGGAAGAGGGGAGCTGTAGAACGGCTGAATTCTGCCCCTGGCACGAAAAGGATGACTCCAGAGGCATGTGAAGCAGCAGAGAATCACTCTCCTGACTTACTCTGGTAGCTACAACAGATGGAGCACATCATCCAAGCGAGCTTCTTGGTAGTAAGAGGAAAGGACACGATGACCTCTAGGTAAAAATCCTAGGAACAGCAAGCACACATAAACATCAACCTGAGCAACTCGAGTTCTGCGCCAGAGCTCGAACTGTGAAGAGAAACACCCGACACAGACCTAATTCAGGCTGTAACTCAGGGCGCGCGCACGCCCAGCCGCGGTACGAACTAACACTCCTCGTTGTAAGGCCTATTCTTATCGTGGTGATGAATGTAGCTTTGGAGAAAGGCTTTTTTTAAGCCTTTTGCAACTTGGTGCAGCCCTTCTTGGCAGAGAGGAAGCTGGAAGGACGTCAGGTTACTCGCCGGGGTGGAACATGTCCTGCTCCTCATGTACAAACACAGGGCATCTCATGACAGGGCTCTGCTGGTGAAGCGCTGCGTGGCTACAGGCAAGCACACTATTGTTGCCTCCTTCTCCCTACGGCAAGGGTGTTTTAAGCTTTCACGTATTGTGTTGGTAAAGCTGATTTGGTTCCTCAAAGGGGAGCCAAGACCAGCATGAGATCTGTCTTCTCGGTATGAAGGTACAGACCTCTTAAGTTTAGTATATGAGTGATAGAACAGACTGAAGAATTCCCCGTTCCTCCTTCTGATTAACACATCCTTGAGGAGCTCATCACTCAGAAAACCTGGCAGGGTAGCAGGAGCCATAAATACTCATTTTCAGCCCCAAACAAGGGAGCATTTCACAAATAACTCATATTGGGAGGAGGGATGAATTGGGGGGGGGGGGGGGGATTTCCTTTCTTCTGAGTGCTCTTAGTTTATGCCACTAGATGGCACGTTTGAAACTCTTGGCATCTCGGTGAAATCACAGCTAAGTCTTTGCTCTGCATCACGCCGTGTTTATCCTGCTCGCCTCACCTGGGATGGAAAAGTACAGGTAACATGCTATCTCAAGAGCCAACGAGCTGAGATAGGCGGATGATAGCATGTAGAAATGTGCCTGCGTGGGTGACCTAAGCTCCAGCCCTCCTAACTCCAGTCCTGGTGTGACCTTAAAGCCTTGGGAGAGCCTGTGAATGCATGTGAGTTGAGACAAGAGGAAAATAGGAAAGGAGGGGGAGAGCTGAGCCTCTGGATGCACACCACTGCTGTCCACCATGAACTGAGCAATGTGCTCAGATCCCTGAGAGCCCAACAGCCTGAAAACCCATTCCCAACAACTCCAGCACATCACTGACATGACCTGGTGTAAGGGAGAGGATTCAGGGCACAACCAAGCAACAAGGGAAGATTTAGCCAACCTCCAACACTGTGTATTGTCATCACAAGACCCAACGTCTCCAAAAGGGTCAAGCACTCTGTGTCCCATGGCAGATAAGCAAACACAGAGCAGCCCATGACCCACTGAGTCAGCTTCATGGGCAAGTCACCTCTTGTGCTGGACACGTCTCGGAGCGTACCCAGCTGTGCCTTGCTGTACTGGCCTTGGCAGGGATGCCAGTGCTTGGCAGCACCGCTTCCTTTAGGCTTCCTGCTTGTTCTTGCTGCCAGTTCCTTAATTTAACTCAACCTCCTTTAGGAGTGCATTAGCACAAGCAGGTATCTGCCCCAGCTGACAATCCCTCAAAGAGGAACAAGTCGGTTCAGCACCAACGTAAGGAGCGCGGGCGCTTGGAGACAGTACTTGTCATGGCATCGCACCCCATATTCCCTCTGTGGGCAGTTTCAATAGATGAGGATTAACAG